CCCCCCCCCCCCCCCCGCCCGCGTGCTACAACCCCCTCCAGGATGACGACGGGGAGGGCGATGGTGGCATCGACGCCGCCGCCCAAGGCTTGGACCGGCTCGTCGGCATAGTGGCGTCCCGGGCCATGCAAGGCGGCGGCAACGCCGGTGGAGGCGGCGGGAGCCGCGCACGCGCGCACGCGGACGCCGTCGCCGCTCTCGAGCGCTGCTGCCGGGGGGAAGGCAGGAGCGGCGGCAGCGGCGGGTTTAGCGGCGGCGGCGGCGGTGGCGGCGCCGGAGGGGCGGCGTTGGTGTCCACGGTGGCCGCGTTCAACGTGATCCATGTGTCCTGCCACCAAGAGGCGGCGCGGGCGGACAGGGCCATGCGCGTCCCCAAGTCGGAGTGGGAGGGGGCTACGCTGAGGAACTCGAGGGTGGCCTGCAACAGCCTGCTGCCGCTGAGGTCGCCGACCACCCCCGACGAGCGGTACCAGGCCGGGCTTGACCGGCACATGGCCAACCTCGGCGAGGTGGGTTGGGTGTTGGGTGGGGCAAGGGCGAAAGCTGGGGTGGGAAGGTAGTTAGATGTTCGGGTACGGGGAATGAAGTACAGTTTTCTGTTGTGGATCGTCTTGCTTCAGTAGCTTCTTCTCTGTTGTCCGGTTCATGAGAGATTTTTTGGCGACGTTCTTCGTGCGACCAACCCTGATCGCGAAGAGTCTTGCTGCGTGTTCCTGTTGGTCGAGAGCGACTAAAGAACAAAAAACGGCAGCTTTGCGGTATTGAGTCGATTCCCGACAGGGGAGACCGTTGCTCAGAATCACTCTCCCGTCCCGCCAACTCGCACCCAAACACATGAACGCCTCCTTCCGTTTTTTTGCTTTTCCGCCGACACGACCGCGCCAGGTGCTGCAGGGGCAGGCTTTCGCGCCCCGCCTGCCGCTTCTGATCCAGGACGTCAGGCTGCTTCTGTTGAGGCTGGCGCACCAGGAGAGCCTCTCCGCCGACTGCGGGGGCGGGGCGGCTCGCAGCAACATCCAGGTCATTCCGTACCAACTTCAGGTACATTTGCTGGGTGGTGTATTGCGTGTGTTTTTGATGTATAATAGCTGTGACGGCGAGTGAGTGTGTGAGTGAGTGTGTGAGTGAGTGTGTGTTTCTTAGTTGGCATCGTCCGCGCCAACCGGCTGACCAATGAGCAGACGTCAATCTCTTCACAGAGGGATAATGAAAATCGAAGACGCCTTTTCTAATCAAACGGTAATATCG